GCTTGATTAAACAGTCTACATGATATTCCATTTTGATTCAAACTAGATCCCTAGGTTTCATTTTGTTTATTTTGGATTTTTTTCAGCTTAAATTCCATTTGCATCCAAAGAAATCAACACCTCAATGTTCAATGTATAATCAATTCTAGTTTCTAGGTCATTTTTCAGTTCAAGTCCCCAATTCCTAATAATAATGAGGAACGTTTGTAAATAAAAAGGAAAAATGTTTTATTTCACCTAAAACTTCATAAATCACAAAAGTTCTTGATCTTTTATGTTTAAATTTATCTTCATGTAAAATTTCACACTATTTTTTATAAAAGAAGCAACATAGATATAACACACTTGAAAATCCTTATTTTTTATTTTTCCCCTGTTTGTGATGGAGATTTCTGTTCTTCTAAGAATAATATCTAGGATAAATGGGAAGGAGAGTCAAATAAAATTATCAGTTGATATGACAGAATACAAGAAATGGAGAACAAGCTTACTTAATAGGCATTTTTTTAAAGAACATGTTTCTTTATCGAAATAGCATGCAAAACTGATATGCCAAAATGAAAAAATAGCTCCCAGTAATTTGAATTTAATTTTTTGACTGTTTCACCTGTTCAGGAATAAAGGGGACCTTGTATCTAACTGAAAATAGTGCATACACTGTTGGTGAGAATGTAAACTGGTTGCAGCCACTATGGAAAACGGTAGGAAGGTCCTCGAAAAAATAAAAACACAACTACCATATGATCCTGCAAGTCCCATTTCTGTGTATATAGCTGAAGGAAACGAAATCACTGTCTCAAAAAGATATCTGCACCCCTAAGTTTACTGCAGCATTATTTACAATGGCCAAGACATGGAAATAACCGATGTCCATCAAGGGATGAATGAATAAAGAAAACGTGGTAAATATATATAATGTAGCATTATTCAGCCATAAAAAAAAAAGAAGGAAATCCTGCCATTTGCAACACCATGAATGAACCGAAGGCATTATACTAAGTGAAAAAGTCGGACAGAGAAAGATAAATACTGTATGATATCACTTACATATGAAATCTAAAAACACCAAACTCTAGAAACAGAGAAGCAATTTAGTGGTTGTAGGAGGAGAAAAATGGGTGAAGATAGTCAAAGGGTACAAACTTCCAGTTATAAGATGAGTAAGCTCTGGGGATGTAATGTACAGCATGGTGACTGTAATTGGCAATAATGCACTGTATATTTGAAAGTTAAGAGAGTAAATCTTAACACATTGAGGATGGAGTATTTAAATGTATAGATGCAAATCTGCATCACCAGTCTACAATGTGTTCAAGTTCTCACCATACAAGAAAAAAATTTAACTACATGAGCTTATGGATGCTTGTGGCAATCATTTTGCAATATATACATATATAAAATCACTACATTGTATCATCTTAAACAATGTCCTTTGTCAACTGTATCACAATAAAGCTGGGCGGGGGAGAAAATAGTGGAAAGAAATTAATATGCTACCCACAGCAAACTTTAGAAATCAATATGCTATGCTAAAGACGCCCCAAAGGGAAATATGGCTGCACACAGCTGTGTAATAAATCAATTTGTTACCGTGACAGTCATCTCAAAAGCAGAGTAATGGTTGATAGACAACAAAGGAGTCAGATTAGACACAGGGGCAATATATAACAGAGCCCACAAAGTTTCTGCTTTGTTTTGTTTTATTTTAGAACAAGTCTGTTAAGTCATTCATTGGGAAATAAATGATTCAAGATAGACTTCCAGAAGAATTATTCGAATTTGACATCATTAATCAGTCAATAGGTTTTTTAATGATTTTCAGAAATTTATTTACTCAACAAATATTATGCACACTATGTGTAACTATTGTCATAGATGCCAGGAATAAAAAGGAAAAAAAAAGTTGCTGCTTTATGGAGGAGATATTATCTTAAAATAATAACAGAAAAAAGTAGTAAATTATTACCATTATAAGTGCTGGAAGAAAAGATACATTATAGCGCCATGACAGTGTCTGTTAAAGAAGTCTGGGTAGCCTGGGAGAAGAAAGGCACTGACACTGGAATGGCGAGCTGACGAAAGGACAAAGAGAAAGTAAGTGTGTCTGTGTGGGTCTGAGTGAGCAGTCCACCAGCCCGCCGCCACAGCAAGTGCAAAGGCCATGAGGCAGGAGGTAACATAGGCAGTGAAACTAACTGTCAGTCAATCCAGTATGCTGAGCTCCTATGGGCAGAACAAAGGTTACTCCGGAGATAAGGAACTGGGGCAAGAAAGGGCTGGTTGTGACATGCATGAGGTTAAACCTTAGCTAGTGATCAATTCTAAATAATACCTAATTTGTCAATAAAACCGCAATCTTCTCAGACCAAATAATCTGATTTGTTCCCCTAGGACAGGGAAATACAGCTATATAATCGTCTATTTTTGTCCTCACAGTATCACTCGCTGCTGGACTCATTCTTAATGACATTTTGAGTTATCCATATTTTACACTTAATCTGAGTATTAAAACTAATTCAGAAGAGCACAAAGCAAAATAATAACAACCTGTGCTTTATATCCAAAAGAAACAAATGAGCATGAAAGATCTACCATTCGACATCTAATAATACACTGAACAAATCCCTTATGATGTCCCATCGAGTTCTTACCTAACCATTCACATACAACTAGGTCTACTGAATCTCTGCAGTTGGGTGAGGCTAACAATTTTTCATCACTAACAAAAGATGTTATTGTAGTACTCTGCACCAAGAAAGAAAAAGACCAGAAAGGAAACCAAAGGAAAGAAAAACAAATCAAGTCCCACCTGGGAATCTAACCTACTTCTGATTCTCCAGTTTAGGCTAACCTAAAGAACAGGCAATATGTAACAATCCTCCATTTATAAAGAAGCTAGCTTTTAGGAGAAAGCAACCAAGTCATTTAGCTTCAAAAGCACCACCCAAAAATAAAAGAAACCACTGAGGAGGTCAAAGACAGTCTCCTTTCAGAGTCAGGCATCCGCTGGCCCTGGCAGGGTGTGAAGCCCAGGTCACAGCGGCAGCACATCACCCACCCAAGCACAAGGGGATCACCCACCCAAGCACAAGGGGTCATGCTCTGAGCACCACAGAAAACTTTCAAACGATTTCAGTCTCTGCATGTCCTTTGTAACATATTTAGCATCCAGAGAGAGCCTATCGGTTCCACATTTCACAAGGGTCCTCATTTCTTCCCCAAACACTTTAAGAGCCTAGTGTTTTATAAATCAGCCCTTAGCTACCTGCCTCTACACACTCTTCTAAACATCAAGCAGGAAGGATTTCCTATCATCCTGTACAAGGTCAATATGAATAAATGTGCACATTCCCAAACTAGTTTTCTCAAAACTAGTTTTACTTAAGGAGATACTCAGAAAAAACAGAAAGCTATAGTCCCATAAATGTGGGAAAAGGCAGGGTATTTTTACTGTTAAAGAGGTTTCCTTCACTGCAGGACTTCTCAGAGTCATTAATTATGAATCTCTCATGAGAGAGGCAGTATGTGCAGCATTCCCCACATATATTTGACTATAAATGTTTTGGGAAGAATCGCCTCTGACACGGGAGTAGCGTTTCACTGAGAAAGGCTGGCCTTCTGTCCCGCACAGAGCAGCCAGCCTGATCACATCACCACACTGAATTATTATGTATCAAGAGAAAAAGATAACAAATAATACCTTTTACCATACCATCTGTATAGAAAGGAGTTAACACATTCTGTTCCTTTCTCATGATCTAGAACTAAATAGGTCGGAAGCAAGCAACTTGTGGTGACTCTATGATGAGCTATTCTGCAGTGACTAAGAAATTCTTACTGTCCAATACCTAAGTCTGAATCAGACATGGATGGGACTGTAACCTGCACTTAATCTCTACAGCAGAGCTCTAACCTTGCTACAACCTCGACTTTGATACTTTTATATCACAAAGTTATCTTCTCAATCATCAACCAAGAAACTGCAGTTATGAATACAAATTTACCTGTGTAAGTTCTAATACCACTATCTTTTGAAACTCAAAACTAATTCCTATAGGGGGGAGAGGGGATCTGGTACTTTTTGCGAAGTTCAGAACAGTTACATACTCCTCAGTAAAAAACTGTACCAGGTTAATGACAACAAAACATCAAACTGGGAGACTTTTAATCTGTTAATTACAGCTCATATGAAATTCATGTCATTCCTCAGCACTCTGAGTCATTCAAACAAAATGATTTTAGCTAGTTTCACTGACTCCTATAAGAAAAGTATCTTAATATACACAATATATCAAATGAAAAAGGAAGATTGTGCATGTGCCCCAGAGGTTCTGAATCTCGCGTTCCTGGGCATCTCGTCTAAAAACTGGGTCTGTCTCGCTCTGAACAGTGATAGAAACCTCAGTACACTGAGTGAGCATCATATATTTTCTGAGAAACAAAGCAGGTTAGTTGGCTTCATCTATTATCATTGATCAGAGAGCCTGAAGCTCAATTCTTTAAGAAAAGGAAGTTATTGGGAGAAATAAACCATAGTCTGAAGGCCATTAAAAATACCTCTCTGGCTTCCAGTCACTCCTGGAGCCAGAGGAGTGAAATGTAAAATTTCTTGCTTCCAAGAATCTTAAGGTTTACCTGTCCCACTGGAGTCACTACATCGTAATTTGCGGTGAAGATAAAAAGCAAGGAGGAAGTCACAAGATGGGAACTACTGAACAGATGGGGAAGGGAGAGAAGCAGCAGCCAGAGCAAACAAGGAAGCACTGACAGATGCACAAACCGGGACAGAAGACCATGTTGAGTGAAGCAGACACAGGCAAGAAGGGAATAAGCCCCACGGGAAGAAAGGGAGTGCACGTGTTCCCTCCCTTGAGTGTGTCTGCCCAAACTACCGTCTACAGTGGGGGCCCGCGCCTCCTTTGCAGGTGAAGAGGTACATAAACAATGCAACAGCGTCTCCGCCACAAACACTGCAGCGCCCCGAATAGAGTGCCCCTCACCTCCTGGCCTGTAGACAACGTCGTCCTCAGTAATGTACGATGTTATCTCGCCAGTGTCTGTCCTCTCATAACGGGATTTTTTTTTCGGTGGTTTCTTTTTATTCTTCTTTGTGGACTCCTCTGTGGTGGCACTATTGTTGTCATTGTCCTCATCGTCACTGTGGTCACTCTCGGCGTAATTTTTGGCTCCTCCTTCCAAGGTACAGCTCCTGCGTGGCCGCGAGCTCTCACTCTCTCTTGCTTTATCTCTTTTCTCTCTCTCTCGGTCCCGATCTCGGTCCCGGTCCTTCTCTTTGTCTTTGTCTTTGTCAGCTGTCATGATTCGCCACGTGCCTTCTTCTGTCCTCTCACGGCTAGGCCTCCGTGAAAGGTAGACAGTAAGCCTGGGCTTCAGTCTTCTGAATTTCTCACTCAATTCCAGGGAAAATCCAACCACTCCAACAACCCCAACGTTTCAAAACTGCTGGGAGAGAAAAAAAGAGAGAGAAATTGATTTTACTTCAACACTTGCTCATATTTTCTTCTTCAAATAATGTTTTGTTAAATGAATTTCTCACTCATGCTTTAGCCCTAAAAACTTCTCACAAGCTATAGGGGAAAAAGTACAAGTGATAAAAAATTGAAATATATACAGTTTTGGCCTCAGCTAGCATATGGTTTGGGGTTTTCTACCACACCAATAATAAAAAATGTCTGAATGCATAAGAATAAACCATACTTTCTGTTCACCAATTGTTTTCTCCTTTTTAAGAAAAAAGTGTACCCTAGTAGACAACATATAATGGGTATAATTATACAAAAGGTGCTTCATAACCATAAAATTAATTTAAAAGGGAAAGAACCTGTAGTAAAAACTATTTCTATCTGAAAAATAATAATTTGGATAGCCTTGGAAAATGTCCCAGGATGTCGCATGGTGTTACTATCCTCGGAAGACTCTTTCTAGCCACTTCTCAAGTTTCCAGAGCTCCTCCCAAAAATAAACATAAGAGCTGACACAAATGAAAGTGACAATTCCAAAGGAAGGTTCTTTTGCATTTGATTACATTTGTTCACATCTTCTAAGTCTACTATTCTAGTTATTTTCCAGGGTAAATGGTTTCTCTAAAGATATATTATCTCTGCCTTAACAAAACATAACAGCTGCCAAAAACAACCTTCCATCTTCAGGGAATATTAGGTGGTTTTTACATTCTTCCAAATTTCCACTGTTTATAGCTTCCCTCATAAACTCCTCCCTAGAACTAAACCCAACAAGGAACGTATGAAGTTGTTAAGAGATTAAAATGAGAAGAGCGAATTCCAAACTCCAACCCAACACAATTCTAATAAAAATTTTATAGGAGGGAAAATACCGTTTTGTTTACCAGTCAGTTTTGGAACAGTCATAATAAGCTGTAATTTATCTTTTGCAATCTTTTATCCTCTTCCCCAGTATCTCATCTAATTTGTTCAACAATCCGTACCAAACATTGTATATGTGCCAGGTGTTCGGAACCAAAGATATAATGATGGAAAAACTCATGGTTCCTTGCCCTCAATGCTCTAATGCAAAAAAAGGAGACAAACGATCAATATGAGAACCATCTGTTTCTCATGTTACGAGGGCCAGATAGGAAACAACATATGCAAACAAACAAAAGATTGGTCCTCTTTACTTTGACAACAGCAAACAAATCAGTTTGCAATTATATGCCTCAGAAGCAGAGGAAATTCTCATCGGTAATGCCAAAACCATAACAATGATCATATACTTTCTTCAAAGCTCATAGGTCAAACCTGATACCAGAAAAGACCTACCCATAAAGCACTTCAAATATCCTTAGGCATTCAGGAAAATAAAAATTGTTAACAACAGGCTTTGGGAGCTAGACTGATGAAGAAGCAATAATGCTGACAATCTATAAGCCAAGTCAGAAAGATGAAAGCGTGTAGCACAAACCGAGATTACTTCCTTCCACATAGGAAATATGCTTTCAGATAGGATTTCAATTTTCTAAACATATTTCAAGAAAATGAAAAATTATTCTAGTGCCTGCAAAACTTCTGCCTAGATGAATCATCTGTTAAACAGACAGTAATAAACTCCCAAGTCCCTGTAGGCCACTGGTGTTAGCAATTGAAAATACGGAAAGAGACATATTACTTTCCCCACCGAGCTTAAGTTTAGAGCATGAACAAGCCAATCATGCAAGAAAAAAAAAACTATCAGCTAACACAGTTGTTAAAAACCATTCCTCTGACATTGAAAACATACCCAGGTCTACTGGGAATCTAAAAAGAACAAGAAACTTAGGCTGAAAAGCTCTCAGATGCAGTTCAGGACAGACACACTTCTGATTAATTTAAGAAAAAGATCGTTCTTTCTAGGGTTAACAAGATATCTGTTCCAGAAAATTGTGTAAAAATATTATTTTAGCACTCAAAAAGGAAGATAGATCCAAACTGTGCATTCAACACTCCTCCCTAAAAAATCATACACCGTGTTTCTATTTACAAAGAAATCTGAGTTGTTTCTGCAAAGAGTGAGCAAGAAAGAAAAATTCAAGAAACAAAAGAGAAGGCATTGACATGATGTCTGTGTGTTTATGTGTGTCCAACTTTCAGATAACTAAGAACACTGATAATCCAAAGCAAAAGTCAATCCAATTACCATTTACATTTGGCTATTATATATAGCTCGGTGGGAATATATATTTTTTCCTCTGCATTTATTATAGTAATTATAATTTTTCTGAGTCTCATTATGCAATGACCAACACACAACAATGTGACATTTGAGAAAAGGGACGCAGAGAGGAACCAGATGGCACTGAGAAGGGGAGTTGTTACTTTACTAGATCAGTTTACTAGAAATGATCTACAAAGCAGACAATACAACAACAGCATCTTTATAACAAGGAGCTTACAGATCAGGTCCCTGCTACCATCTCTTTTGATCCTTTCTCTCAACAAGTCAGTGAAGTACCAGACAGAAGTCACCATTCCACTTGACAGACTACAGAAGGGAAACTGAGGTCACCGGCACCAGGCCACACAGCCACTGATTCTGAGGCAGATCTTCCACAGGTGAATCCCATCAGACTGTTCATAACCTGCTCCTCAGGTTAGAGCCCGTGCCGCCCGAGTCACCAGCTCTGCATAGGTGCCAACTTTTCCCACATGTATCCATGCTGCTAATTCAGACAGAAAGATTTAGGAAACATTCACTTTGCCCTCTCCTTCCAAAAAAGAACATAGTTTTCTCCAGCAAGAAAGACAAAAATAATGCAAGTATCTCTGTTGATCCAGTGCTCAACCCAGTTGAACAGGAAACATGGTATCAGATACTTTAATTAACAAATAACAAAAGGAAGAAAATCTAATTTAGAACACATTTCAGAGTCACAATCTTCATCTATTCATTGAACCAAGGTCAGCCGGATATGAATTACTGCTCCAGGTGAAAGGAAAAGAGCAAAGAACCACACACAAACTTCCCGGCCCTCCTGGAGCTGATTTCTGGGGTGGAGAAAGACCATAAACAAATGATAATAAAGTTAAGTCCTCACTTCATATCTTCGATAGGTTCTCAGACCTGCAGCAAAACAACACATAATGAAACCAATTTTATTATAGGCTAATTGATAAAAACAAGAGTTAAGTTCCTGTTGTATCTCATCAACCTGATAATGAAATGGCACTGAATGGAACTATGTCATTCAAGGACCTGCCACACGTGTGCGTGCACACATGCGCACAGACACACACACACACACACACACACACACACACACACACATGAAAAGATCTTAAATGGAAAATTTAATGGGAGCAGGGAGTGTGGGCAGACTGCAATTTTAAACGATGGTCAAGGAAGGCCTCCCTACAATGGCTTCGCCCCTAAGGGTGTTAAGAGGGGAAGGCATGGGGACTTATGAAAGACCATTGCAGCAGAGAGAAAAGCAGGTGCAAACGTCCAGAGGCAGGAGTGAGCAGGGCACACGCAAGACCCAGGAGGCCAGAGGGGCTGCAGTGGCATGAGGAAGAGGGAGAGTGGTTGGATATGAGTTCAGAGAGGTAAAGAGGGGCTGGGTCCTGCCGAGCTTTATGGACCAGAGAAAGGACTTAGGCCTTTACTCAAGGGTGGGGAAGTGCTGCAGCGATCCCCGTTGCAGAAAAAGACATGAGCTGACTTCTGTTGAAGCTCACTCTGGCTGCTGATAGAAAAACCTGAAGTGATGCAGCACGAAGACTGGTGAGGGAAGAGGCTCGTTTCAATACCCCAGGTAACAGGGGACAGCAGCTGGGTGGACCAGGGGGATAGCATTAGCGAAGGAGATAAGTCTTACTTTTTTATTTTTAAGGTAAGAGTCAAACAGGCTGTGCTGACAAACTGGGGAGGTGTGGTGTGACCAAGGAGTCAAGGACAACTCTAAGGGCTCTGATATGAGCAACTATTGGGTTGTTGGAAAAGTTATGATGCATTTTTGCAACAAAAAATGTAGAAAGAATATGTCATGACTTTTCCAACAACCCAATAGATGGATGAAGCTGATATTACACAAGTTTGGGGGGAAAGGTTAGCGGCTCAGGTATGAGCATGTTAAGTTTAAGAAGCCTATAAAAACCACATAAAGATTTTAAGTAGGCAGAGGTCCAAGCTGGAGATAAAATTTTAGTTTTTAATTTAGTTTGTAAGGACATAAGATTGAGTGAGATCACCAAGGAAATGAGTGTAAATAATTTTTCTGATAAAAAATTTAAAACCCACAAAAACATGTATTACTCATGCTTGAGTGAAAAGGATATTCAAAAGACTTGCAAATTACACATTTCCAAAAGCAATACCCCCAGAACCCATAAAAAAGTACATTCCTCTCACTCGTTTCCAGATTTATCAGATTGTACTTCATCATTTTATCTGAATAGAGAAAATGTGGTCAGCTAGCTTACTTTCACTTTAATCTAATTGGGGTCAAAGACCTCCAACACAGTCATTAATCCAGAAATATTCATCATTACCCCAGGTACCTTCACCTCTCCAAACATCATCTGTCTCTTCAAAACGAAGCCAACCACCACCTCAAACACCTCACACTCCTTATCAGAATAGATTCGGATCAACTATGAAAACTTCCATCACGCTCAGGGTCCTGGCCTCATTTATGACCACCACTTCCTGTCACTATTTAACCTGTCCCTGGAGATTTAGCCCCATGATACAGCTGGGCTGGGAGACTGGGCTGAGAAGCCCAACTCCCAACTTCTTGGCACTGCCATGTGCTGCACTGCCCTGCACGAATCATTCGGCCTCTCTGAGGACAGTAACTAGCGACTTCACAGAGCTGCTGTGAGAATGTGGTTAACTGAGCATACCGTATGTAAATATACTTAAAGATTGCTAAGTTCTTTACAAATGTAAACCATCAACACCATATTCTTAGATGCATAATATGTATATTCTTATTACCCGCTACAGTA